AACTCACAACATTCTATGATTCTATGACCTCTATCCCTCCCAGGAGCCGAGGAGACCTTTGAGTACTGTGATGTGGTCATCAACAGCCAGGAGAAGGTTTCAGATGTGTACACGCAGCTGGAGAAGCTGGGAGAGTAAGTGGAGGTCCCATGTCCCTACTGCCTGGGGATGGTCCATGGCTGTCCATATGCAGCCATGGGTGGGATGCAGGGTGGTGGTGATGGCTCCTCCATCCCTCATCCTTGCTCTGTCCCAGGGGAAAATTCGGGACAGTTTATCGACTGCAGGAAAAAGCCACCGGCAAAATCCGGGCTGGGAAATATTTCCGGACACAGACGGCTAAAGAGAAGCAGGCAGCTGGGGCCGAGGTGGAGCTCATGAACCTGCTGCATCACCCACGCCTCGTCCAGTGCCTCGCTGCCTTCCAGGGCCCCACCGAGCTGGTCATGGTGATGGAATAGTGAGTGGGGGGCAGAGTCAAGTCTGGGGGTGGTGGGGACAGTGCTGGACCCCGCAAGAAAGAGCGTTGAAGGTGGGGAGGGGTCCCTGCACCGTGGAGTGTGGGATGGATGAGGAACCTGAAGGCCCTGGAGATAATGGATGGTGCGATGCTTCCAGAGCACTGAGGTTGGCTTCACTGGTGGGGCTTCTCCTCGGGGCTGGAAGAACCTAACAGGGTCCCCAGCACTTTGTTCTCTCCCAGCATGGCACGTGGGGTGGGATCCTGCACCGTGAGGTGCTGGCATGTGGTGTTGGATAGATGGAGAACCTGTAGACCCTGGACATAAGGGTGGTGAGATCCTCCCAGAGCTCTGCATCTGGATTTCCTGCTGGGGCTTTTCTTCCTTGGGGCTGGTAGACCCTAGTGAGGTCCCCAGTACCTTGTCCTCCCTCAGCGTGGCAGGTGGGGAGCTCTTTGAGCGCATCGTGGACGATGACTTTGAGCACACGGAGCCCAGCAGCGCCCAGTACATGCAGCAGATCCTGGAGGGGCTGCAGTTCATGCATGGCCAGGCTGTTGTCCACCTTGACCTCAAACCTGAGAACATTGTCTGCGTCAGCCCTGGCAGCCACTGGCTCAAGATCATTGACTTTGGCTTGGCACGGAAGCTGGGTGAGCGAGGATGGGGGTCCTGGGGGGACCAGGGCAGGGACTGTCACCATCACAGAGACACGATCCAGCTGGGTACGTCAGCGAGGAGCTTGGCATCCTCCTGCCCATGCTTTTGGGATGAGCAGCCTTGTGGCAACAGATCAAAGCACTTCCTGGTGACCATAAGATGCTCTGGGGAAACCTGCATGTCCCCAGCCCTGCCTCCAAGGTGGAGACCCCCAAGAACACCATCCCTGTGGGTACCCAGCATCCAGAGATGCTCTAGGAGAACACCAAGACCTGCCATGGGTCCTGGAGCAGGGGCTCATCCACCCAGCCTGTGTTAGTGTGCTTCCCCAAGGAGATCTAAGCATGGACACCTGCCCCATGGTCTACATCTTCTCCACAGCTCCAGACACCCCCGTGAAGGTGTTGCACGGCACCCCTGAGTTCATGGCTCCAGAAGTGGTGGCCTTTGAGCCTGTGGGCTTCTCCACGGACATGTGGAGTGTTGGTGTCATCTGCTACATCCTGTGAGTGGCCTTCTGGGGACAGCAGGTTGGGCTGGAGGGGGCCAAGCTGGCACTGATGTCCTTGCATCACCTCTCCAGGCTGAGTGGGGAGTCCCCCTTCCAGGGGGACAGTGACATGGAGACGCTGAGCAACATCACAGCTGCCCAGTGGGACTTTGAGGAGGAGACCTTCTCAGAGATCTCCCAGCAAGCCAAGGACTTCATCAGCCAACTACTGCAGAAGGACCCCCGGTAGAACCTGGGGGTGGCTGTGGGGCACATCTGTATGGTCAGAGGTGGAGCTGCGGTGGGATTTGGGGTGCCAAGGGGATGGGCAGGGGAACGTGCTCAATGCAGTTGGTGAAGGGGATGCTCCTTGGGGCCATGCCAGCAGCTGAGGGTCTGATGGTGGAGAAGCCCCCCGTGACCACCCCTTCTGCCCCCAGTTGCCGTCTCTCCAGCGTGGAAGCTCTGCTCCACCCCTGGCTGCAGCAGCCCCAGCCCAGCAGCCCCAAGGTGCTGTCAAAGGAGAGGATCAAGCAGTTCCTCACTCGTCGGAAGTGGCAGGTACCTGGGAGGATGATGAGGACGTGGGGATGGGGATGGCTCTGGTGGGGCTCAGTGCTCCTTCTCTTCTCTTCTCTCCAGAAAACAGGCAAAGCTCTGCTGGCCCTCAACAGGTTGACCCTGCTGTCCCAGAGCCCAGAGAGGAAAGCGTCAGAGGCTCAGGATGAGGAAGGTGATGGCCCCTGAAGCATCATCCCCACCAACCCACTTCCATCTGCTTTGTCACCCCCAACTCCTGCTCCTGGGCTGCTTTGCCCACCTTTGCTCCAAACTTCCCTGATGCCACCAAACACCTGGGCATGTCCCCACTGTGGTATTTCTGCTCTGGGCCACCTTCAGTGCCCCAAAGTCCTCTCCATCCTCATCCCCAAGGGGCCATCTCTGCTGCAGCCTTAGAACAGGCGCATCCTGCTCTGCAGGGCTGGGACCTGTGTGTGATCCAGAGCTGATCCCCATGGGACCTGCCCCACGGGTCCCACACATCTTCCTCCAGCAGGAGAGAGGTTGAACTCAGCCAGCTCCTCATGGTTCCCTCTGTCCATCTGCCCACAGACCTGGGCTGCAGCCTGGAGGAGGACCAAGCCTCTGGGTCTCTGCCCCAATGAGATCCCAGCTTCTTGGAGCTGCTGACGGACCGAGAGGAGGGGGAAGGTGGGAGCACTGGGGGCACAGGGGAGGCAGAGAGCAGTGTCAGCGTGGCCAAGCCACCCCAGCCCTGGACCACCTAAAGCAGCTGGTGAGAGAGGAGCAGGGAGTGTTGGGGATGAAACCTCCTCCAGCAGCTCACACAATGACCCACCCAGCCTGGGGTAGACCCAGACCCCAGGGCTCCTCTCCCATGGGTGAGCTTTGGGGTCCCATGGTGTCCCTGTACTGGTGTGGGGACAGCCATGCCTGCTGTCCCCAGCAAGGAACCAGTGCTCCTGTCTGCATGGCCACCCAGGCTTGAGCTGTCACCAATAAAGCGCTGAGGATCTCTGCACTCCCTGTGCTGCTCCTTTTTCCACCCAAAATCACCGGGAGGGATGGGGAAGAGCTGCCCAAGCTGTGCCCACCCTTTGGGAGCTGGTACCAGCCTTTGTCCCCACCTGGGCCACCACTCTTGTCTTCTCCAGCAGAGATGCTGGCCCTCGGGACAGGGACTGAGTGGGGACGGCTCTAGCAGCAGCCCTGGGTGTCCCTTGTTTGGAAGAGTTGTCCCTCATCATGAAGGGGTGTTGGCATCAGGTCCTGAGCCCACAGGTAAGAGGAACCAGGATGAACCCTGGGAACTCTGGTCCCTCAATATCTGGGCCAACTCTGGTACCAGCAGAGCTGGGAGGAGCCCAGAAACTGCTGTGTGACCTCCAGCCTCCTCCTAAGGAGGCAGCTTGAGCAGGAATTGGGGTTTGGGTCTTCAACAATGAGTGCACAGCCCTACACCTGGAGAAGAACAACCCGAGGCACCAGTATGTGCTGAGGGACACCCAGCTGGGAAGCAGCTTGGCCTGGGGGTCCTGGTGGACACCAGACTGACCATGAACCAGCACTGTGCCCTTGCTGCAAAGAAGGCGAATGGTGTCCTGGGCTGCACTAGACAACGTCTTGCCTGTAGGTCAAGGGAGGAGATCCTTCCCTTTGTTCAGCACTGGTGAGGCCACACCTGGAGGCCTGTGTCATGTCCTGGGGTCCCCAGTCTCTCTTGTACTGGGGACCCCAGGACATGACATGATGAAGGAACTGGAGAACCTCACCTATGAGGAAAGGTGAGGGAGGTGGGACTGTTTAGCCTGGAGAAGAGAAGGATCAGGGGGCATCTCATCAATGTATATAAATACCTGAAGGGAGGTTACAGAGAGGATGGAGCCAGGTTCTTCTCAGTGGTGACCAGAGGCCATGGGCACCAGTTGAAACACAGGAGGTTCCATCTGAACCTCGGGAAACACTTTTTTACTGGTGATGGAGCACTGGCACAGGTTGCCCAGGGCGTTTGTGTGATCTCCATCCTTGGTGATATTAAACTGTCTAGACGTAGTCCTGGGCAACTTGCTCTGGGTGGCTTTGTTGGAGCAGGAGGATTTCCAGAGATCCCTTCTGACCTCAACCCTGTGATTCTGTGAAAACCCACCTCCTGTTCACGCAGGGCTGGGGCAACTCTCCTCCATCACATGCTGATGCTGGAGGACTTGTGAAGGTCCCCTGGTTGGAGTGGTCCAGCCCCGTGCACACTGCCAGGGTACAGCTGTGCCAAATCACACACGGCTGAGGCACAGCTTCAACTCCTCCTCCTTCTCTTCCTCCTCCCCTTCTGGGTGAGGCCAGCAGAGGGGTAGGAGGAAAGTGTTGATTTTATTAAACAGAACCAAATCCACCCACTCTCCCAGCCATGGTAGGGACACACATCTGCGAGCTCTGTCTGGGGTCACCCATGGGACACAGATGAAAGGGACATCGGCCATCAGAGCTGCTGCTGGACCAGTGATG